CTCGTCACCTTCCAGGCAAAGTATCACAAGCGCCATGCGACGTTTAAAAATTTCCGCCGCCATTTTATTTCTTCACTGAGAAATTGTTGGTTGGATCTGTTTGGAAATTTCACTAAATTTTATCGGCAGCACGAGGAAAATTCGGTGAAATTTTCGGACAGCTTCGTTGAACGATTTCTCTGTAAAAAAATATAATGGCGGCGGAAATTTTTAAACGTCGCATGGCGCTTGTGATACTTTGCCTGGAAGGTGACGATCTATTCTGCATAAAGAATAAGGAGAGAATAGAAATAGGGGTAAACAAGGCGTCTGTCATCCGTTCGGGCAGATGTGTAGGAGCCAGTGGCGTGGCGCGCTTTGCGATATATCGATTGATACGCCACTCAAACCTATGAAAAAGATCGATTATTAGGGTGTTCGCGGCGAACACCTTACTAATCGATTCTTTACCATAGCTTCAAATGGCGAGATATCGATAATCGATCATTCACGCTACGCCACTGGTAGGAGCAGGGGTTGCCTACCTATTTCCCACATTGGTTGGTGTGTAGGCGGCCACTATGTCTGCCTCGGATGTTCGGTACTGAATTCCAATGGTTATGTGATAACGGCTGGGGTCAGGTCGCCACTCAATTTTTCACTTGTTTTTATGTGTTTTTGCAGCTGAAAATGCTGGTAACAGCTCGAAACGTCGTGCCTTCTGATGTTTTTAATGTTTTAGCCTTGTTTACCATATTTTAATTCTCTCCTTATTCTTTATTCGTATATTCGGGCTATGTTTTTGTGCCTTATCGTTGATCTATGTTGCCATGCTAAGGAAGAACGCCATACGAACATTTGAGAGTTGCCAAATTTCCTTCAATAAAATGTTTATTTTTGAGGAAAGATATAAATATTTTTCCTAGAAATTTTCATGGACTTTAGATGAAATTGCAAACGAAATTATCTGAAAAATTGGAGGAATGATATTCGTAAGTTAACCAGGAAATTCGTCTTTTATCAATGGAAATTTGGCGACACTTGAAGGTTTGTGCGGCGTTCTTCATTGGCACGACAGTATGGTGCGCCGTTTAGGCAAATAGGGAGAAATCAAATGTTCTGTGATATCTGGCGACCGCTGTGATATATGGACGAATCATGTGATGTATAGAGTGTTGAGATATACAGGGTGCAGAGTGGGAACCTGACCAAACCAAATAGTACAGAGCAGAAGCTCACGTCACCTAACCGAGCCTTTCCTAACCTAAGGTAACTTGAGGTTAGGCTAATTTAGGTCCGGTTTGATTAGGTTAGGTGCGGTTAGGTTATGAACTTAAATATCCGGTGTCCGAACGGGAAATATTATCCATAACGAACTCTCCACTTTACCTAAAAACATTAATTATCGACTCTGGAAAATTGTTCAAATGATTGAATGAGTTTTATTTTAGGCATGTCAACACTAAAAAACATCTTGCCTGACATGGAATGAAAAAGATCCGCTTTAGGCATTCGTCGATTTTTAATCATTCAAAAAATTCCTATAGGACTTTTTTGAAAAATCACTAACAATTCTACGAAGAACAGAAGATTCATTCTATGATATTTTTTGCTCAGACACTACTGAATACAGTTGTTTTCAAAACTTCATTTTTGCGCTTACTGCGCTGGAGCCATCAACCCATAGTTCATATTTAGAAAAATAATTTAAATTTCTTCATTACGGTGATCAAAGAAATTTGAGCTATTTTGGTATCAATAGAATAGTGTTCAAGGTTACGATCCCTCGACTGTAACAAGCACTATGATTTGAGAAGTCGCAATCATTACTTTAAACTATGTTCTTCAAAATATTCATCTTATTTTCCTAATTTGATTCATGAGTGTTAACTTTATTTCAAGTATAATTATTAGCAGCGAATTTAATATCAAAGCACACTCTTAATATCATTTTTCCATCGCTTTGATCACTTTTAACTATTAATTCTAAATAAAACACTGAACAAAATACTCCGGCCGTGTAAGTCGTACTTACAGGCTATATAGACATAGTGTCTGCGTTCCGGGCTCGGGGGCCAAAAGTTCCGGGCGTAGAACCCGGTGCAATCGAAGCTACGGCTCTAACACCCGGAGCCCGTAGCTAACGGTATGTCTATATAGCCCGTAACTTTATTTAAGTGTAATAATGAATTACCATTTGTACTAAGCAACATGATACGAAAAAAGGCTGGAAAATCATAAAATCGTAGTTGAAAGTTCTTTGCCGCTCTTTTTACGGATCCGGTTTGCTTTATAATGGAATATTTTGATGATGTGACAACCGATGAAGGGTAATGTAGCAATCGCGTCCATGATATTGGACTTTATGCTCAGCTATATACTGTTACGTTGCTCATCACGTCCAAGATCTTGGACTCCATGCTCACTTTAGTTGGGGATAAGTTTTTCGAAAAATCGAAGTGAGCATAGCGTCCAAAATTGTGGGATGCCGATATATTCTGTGACAATACACGAGCATAGGGTCTAAAAATTTATTAAGACAATTTTTGTGAAATGAAGACGAAAAAATGTGTTCTCGTAAAAAAAATAGTGCATTGGTTAGGTTAGGTTAGGTTAAGTTAAGTTAAGTTAAGTTAGGTTAAGTTAGTTCAAGTTAGATTTGATAAGCAAGTATACGATTTTCTATCATGATGAACTTTAAAAATACGGGAGGTCTAATTGCTATTGGACTCCATGCTCCAGCAAAGAGGTGAGAAGTTTAGCGATGAGCATGGAGTCCAAGATCTTGGACGAGATGAGCAGGCAAGTATATCAAGAGTGAGCATGGAGTCCAATATCTTGGACGCGATGCTACATAATCCGCTGAAGTCCGATGCCCAAAGCCAAAGTTTTCGGTGAGGTCCCACAAGTTGTATTTTGGTGTGTTTTATCTGTGATAAGAGTCTGTGTCACAGCTCTGATTTCTAGAATTCATGGTTTAGTATAAGTTAATAAGGTGTACTGTTTATTCAGAGTGAGGTGTTGTCATTTCACCCATCGAGCTACATTATGTCCCCAAGCAAAGCGGCTTTGAGTCCCGGGACCCAGCGACCTTTTTACATTGGTCTTTTACAACGCAAGCACTGCGAATTAAATGCTGTAATATATATTTAGGTATAAAACTGGAAAAATTAGGGACTATATAGGTTAGGTGCCATGTTCTCGGGCTGCCAAAGTGTAAATTTATCTGCATATTTAGGTGTATGTTTTCTTTTTTTGAATTTTTTTATCACCTATTGGCTTCTCTGATACTT